GGGAAATTGAAACATGTAAAGCCAAAGATCTACAGCTTGGAAAATGAGCTACGTGTTTGCTGATAAAGATATGCTAGTGAAATAGACAAAGACCCTTGTTCCAAGTGCTTTTTCCAGTCTTTATTTTGTGGCAAAACTATTAGCTGGTCATGACTATAGGATTTAATTTTGTGCTCTAGGACCAAAGGATCCTATTAAACTAAATGTGAGATTTATAAGGAAAGGAGAAAAAGAACCACTTCTGCTGACGTGGTTAAGAGTGTAGGACTGGGACTCAGGCAATCTGGGTTCTAGTCCCCACTCAGCCATGGAGTCCATGGGATGCCTTTGGCCCAGTCACAGACTCTCAACTCAACCTACCTCAGAGTTGTTGTGGGGATGAGATGGAGAGCAGAAGGAGGAGAATGATGTAAGTCACTTTCTGTTCTTTAAAAAGAAAAAGGTGGGATTTAAATCTAATAAATAAATGATGGCATCATTTCATTGAGCGATAAGTACTTGGTTAGATACTGGACAAAATTGGAATAGCTTACTGTATGAAATTCATTTTTCTCCAAGAACTCAAAACTTATGTCCAAACGAAACAACAATGACTGTCTAAATAGCATTACAATCTCATGTGTGCTCCCCAATATCAAAGGTTCACGAAAGTGAGGGGAAATCATTGCTTGGACATCTTGCAACTTGGAGAGGCTCCCCAAGAGCTTCTCAGTGGTAGTCCCTCAGTTACAGGACACCAGGCATATTTTTCTTTTCATTTCCATGAGTTTCCATAAAAAATCCACTTTAGTTGAATTTTCAGTGCAATTAACTGTTTATTCAACTTTTATAATACTGAGACTGTAGGCTTAATTTGTTTTTTGTATTTACATTTGTTATTATTTGAAAGCAGTACAGTATAAACATATAAGCCTATCCAAACCTTAAGATTACCCAGTAAAGTCCTTCTCTGAGAGTCACCTTTAAAAGATGCAAGGAAAGTGGCCATGAGGGGAAGGGTCTTCTTGGTTGTGGCACCCGATCGTGGAACCAGCTCATCAGATAGTGGTGCCTGCTGCTGATGCTTTACACCTTCTGGCACCAGACTAAAACCTTTTCATTTTCCCAGTATTTTAATACTTAAACATTTCAATGCTATTTTATACTGGATTTTATTTATACTGTTGTTGGGTTGCTGTGGATTGCTTCTTGTTTATCACTTATTTTTATTGATTGATTGATTGATTTGGATATGGATTAGTATCTTATGACCCATATCATATTTATTTATATAATGTATTGCTATTATGTTGGGTTCTTTTTTGCTTTTATTGTAAACCATTCAGAGAACCAACTGGCTAATTGAGGATGGTATACAAAAGTTTTAATTGATAAATAATAAACAAACAGTACTACTAATACATATAAGAAATAACTAATCCTAACAATGGTTACATGGAAATACATGCCCTTAACTCATTGCAGCAACTAGTGCAGTCTTACCTCATTATCAAAAACATACTTCCCCAACGTGGCTGTGCTGTCTGGGAATGATGGAAACTGTAGTCCCACACATCTGGAGGGTACCCAGTTGGAGAACACTGAACAAGGATATCCGTAGTGCTAATGAGATATAGACAATGACTGTTTGACATTACAGTAGCATGTCAGAGATCGGATCTTGTAGAAGCTAAACTGGGTCAACGAAACTACCACATAGCTAAGTTTTAGTGCAGTTTCTCATTTGTCAGACTCTCATAATGGATCATCGCTTGACTTCACTTGGAATGAAGCACTTACTGATTAGTTTAAAAGAAAAAAAGAGGAGCGGGAGAAAAATAAAAGGGAGGTTAAAAAAACACCCTGCATGAAAATTCCATTTAGAGGCATTTCAAATCACTTTGAACAGTGTGAGCATGGGACCCTAATCATTTCAAAACTGAAGAGCTGTTTGAATTTTCAGAGGAAAGGATTTCATTTGAGTGACTCGGTACTGCATTCCCTCGGTCTTTTAGATTTTTGAGAGTCCTTCATCGTGGAAATGAAGTCTCATAAATGGACGTGACTCCAAAATGCAGCATTCTCCACAATCAGCAGTGCACAATTTGAGAGCATTTCAACTTAAGTTGAGATTGTTCTGCACGATTATGCGGACGTTCCCCCCATTAACCTTCAGATTGTTCTTTGGGCCAAACAGGGCATGATGCTGGGAGCTATGATTTTTTTCCTCCTCCTGAATATTCTATTCTCTTAAATAAATTATAAAGTGAAAAGCAGCCTCAAAAGGCCAAAAAACCAAAACAAAAAAACAAAAAAAAACCCCACCAGAGGGACAGAGACTGATTAGCCCATTACTTTTCTATCATTATTTCACTCATAACTTCCTTTCCTTCCTTTCTCCCTCTCCCTTACTTTGGGCCTTATAAGGTATACTTGTCAGGTCGTGTATCTTTCCCTCATCAGTGGAAAGGCAGCTGAGGAGGTAGTGTGATTTTGAGCAGAAAAACAAAAGAAAAGGAGGGTCAAAAGATGCATTTGCCACTGTTTTTTCACTTTCAGTTCCAACTTTTGAGGCTTTTCTCCCAATGAAAAGACCCAAATTAGCAGAGGAAAGCTTTGCAATTCATTTCTCCTTCCCATTTTAAGAACAAGCTTCATACCAAGTCGGTGGCCCTCCAGATGTTGTTGGAACTATGACTCCCATCCTCCCTGACCAACTGGGACTGATGGGAACAGAAGGCCAGTAACTAGTTGCCGAGAGAGGCAGTGGGCTCTCCCAAACTAGAGATATTAAAGGCAAAACTGGACATCTGAGTGAGATAGTGTACATTGAGTCCAGCAACAGAAGCGGGGGGGACCCGATGGCCTTCATGGCCCCTTCCAACTCTATGATTCTATGATCTATGGAGATCCTCCAGCTCTACTCTATTCAGCTCTGCTCTACTCAGTTCAACTGGCATACCATTCTTTCCCAAACTTTGACCTACAGTGTTTTGCTTTCACATTTCAACAGCTTTACTTTTGGAGTGTGTAAGACAACCTCTCCCAGCTTGGTACTCCTGAAAGAAGTTGGCCTACAACCAGAGGTGGCTGATAAGTCTGGGTTTTCACTTCAAGCTTCATTTCAAAGTTTAAATGAATTTATCTAAGATGCTGACCCACCAGCCTCTGCAGATTACAACTCCCAGTGTGGTTGGTACAGAGGAAAGATTTCCTCTTCAGAGTGAGCTGAACTGCTCCTGTCTTGGGAATGGGAGAAAACAAGGCCCAGCTGTGTCTTTCCCACAGCGATGCAACAAGCATCTTCCATTAACTGCTGGGCAATTTTGTTGTGCCTCCGTTTGGGAATTTTATTTATTTTATTTGCTTTATTTATTTATTTATTTGCTCCGTTATTTTATTTATTTTATTTGCTTAAGCGTAGGGTCCAGCCCCACTGGCTACATAGTCAAGGCAATGAACTCATCCTCAGTGAAGCCTGACTGGAAGAATGTAAGATCAGAATATGAAAATATGCAGCAGGCAGCTCACACATTCTTCTGCTGTGGGGGATTTGGAGTTGGCATTGTAAAGATGATGCAGTTTTTCATGGCAGCAAGCCACACCTGGGCATCCCACCAGTATAGTTTGGGAAAGACTTTTCCGTATATGGAGACACTTGGGATGAATTTTCACGAGTAGGAAAGAAAGGCAAGCCTGGCTTTTGCTAGCCTTCAAAAGTCCCAGCAGAGGTACCCAAAGGGAGCCGTATTCTACCCTTCTCTTCCTCTGTCCCCAAACAAAAAGATACTGCTTTTTATGTAGCAGGACTTCCAGTTTCCAAATGATTTGTATATTTGCCATGCAAATCTAAGTAGCAGTGCTTCTGTCTTCCACAGGGCTTCTTTCATATTTTCCCTAAGAGAATGCAGAAAGTGTTGATTTAACCCATCTGTCCACCCACCCCACCCCACCCTGGTTTTTGGATGTATGACATGCTTCCAGGAAAAAGGATGCTTGTGGGACACCAGAGACATACAATCTGCATCCTGCATGTTTCAAAAATAATTTTAAAGCCCATGACGTGCAAGAGGCATCTAGCACAAGCAGAATCAAAGCCTTCTACAAATGTTTGAATGTTTGCTACTTCAGAGAGCTTCACTGGAAACAAGCAGAAACTCCTCAGATGCCACATTTTTAAGAAGAATGCACACATTTGGCTTAGGTTGCAGCAGTACATTTTAGAAATACAGTCATTTAAGTGTGTACTTCCTGTGATTGGCTGAGCAACTGTTACTACATATTCGATACCAGAGGTTAAAATTATGATTCATTAATGGTAGAGGAACGGTTGTTGTTTACTCTTAAGTGACTAACACAACATGGATCTACAGATACTCTTGCACCAAAAAGTAGTGCTCTATGAAGAAAGTGCACACCATAGATGCAATTCAAAGTGGCCCATGCATGTATGCAGAGTGCTTTCATGAACACATGGTAGGTGGAATTGTTGCCTTCCAGTAGCAACCCTTCCCACTCCATGGTGTATTGCTGCAGAGGGTCTGTAAGGCTTGAAGCCCAGCTGCTGCTAGAAGCACCCATGTGCATGCAGTACGCCATGGAGGCCCCTTCATTCCAAAGCAGGTTGAAGGCACATGGATCCCAGATGCATCTTCACATTTGTGCTGAAGCAGATGTTCACATTTCGGTGCTGAAGCAGATATCTGTGCATTGCTGCAGCAACTAAATAGACTGCAAGGGGTGTGCCTTTGTCCACCTGCACAAAACAGTGTTATATGATAACTAGCAATGCATTTTTTTTCCACATGCAGCAGAGTCCCTTCTCAGATTGCACACACAGGAAAGATGCTGAATTTGAATTTGACCATTTCCCCCATATGCGTTGTACATTTTGCACCTGCCCTACACGTTTTGATGCACCACACATGAAAGGAGATTGTTGAATGATGATATGAGACATCAGGATGTATATGGGTTTTTCATTCCTATGCACATTTGTCTGTTTCTTCTTATTAATGTAGGTGGACTTGGGCCTTCTCCGCTTTGTATCTGCTATTGGGACCCAGGGAGCCATATCAAAAGAAACCCAAAAGATGTATTTTTTGAGAACATACAGAGTGGACATCAGCTCTAATGGAGAAGACTGGATTTCAGTTAAAGATGGAAATAATAAACCATTGGTAAGGCTTTTCATCTTTATGACTCTTAACTACTCAAGGATTTCTAATGAGTTTTATTACTTGTAGCTATTCTTTTGAAACAAAACATTCTATGCTTTGAATGCACCAGTGCTACCCATACGGTACATTTTAGTAAAGGAAGTAGAGAACTCTCAAGCTGCTAAAATGCTAAACTGGCGGCAACCTGAAGCACTGTTTTTGTTCTTTTTAGCTACATTTTCATAGCTGTTCCCCAGTAGGTTTCTTTTTTGCCTGGCTACACCCATGACTAAGTTATAGACACGAGAATAACAGAGTAATCCTGTAAAATGCTCAGTTGATGTGCCAGCAACATGAAAAACAGAATAATTCTTTGAGCATTATTTATCCAAACTGAAACACTTTTAAGGCTCATTGATTATAACAGGAGGGGTTCAAGAACATTCTTCGCTATCCTATAGAAATCAATGGGAATTAAAAGTGTCTAGTTTTGTCTGAGTCAGGTCCAAGATTTTTCCTGACTTTCCAAATGATGTGTTGTTCAGAAATGTCAGTTGTGTTAGGCTCTAGCCTGCAAAATCAATAGCAACATTACACACCCCTTACACTGGGTGTTTGCATTAACACACCACTTCAAACAATGTTCATAACAAAATGTTAGCAGAAATGGACTCGGGAAATCATTTTGCTGCACTATAAATACAGTAAAAATGGTTCAGTTTTATTAGGGTGAAGAAACCTGCGGTGAAAAATACAGTGTCGCTGGATTCTAAGAATTCTCATGATCTATTGTACTGATGACACCAGGGCACTATATTGTACAATTTTGTATTTTGGTTATTTTATACTATGCCACTGACTCATGGACTTCCAGTTGCTAGGAAGCAACAGCAGAAGAGAACTTGTTGAAACAGGGCACTGAAGTAGATGAACTGGGTCTGATTCAACAACACTCTTCTTTATGTGTTTATAGTGCAATTCTACAGATGTCTACTCAGATGTAAGTCCCACTGGATTCAGTGGGTCTTGTCTCCCATCCCTAAAACAACCCTGTAGGCTCACAGACTAGAAGACAACATCAAGGAAGATAGAGCAAGACGGAACTATTCCTATGTGCAGTAAAGAGACATAGCAAAGAGAAGAGAAGACAGAATGTGAGGACAAGTGCTAGTCTTTAGGCTTTTCCTAGCTATATGGTTAACTTTACCATTGGTCTTCCACCGGTGGGCTGGCACTCACAAATGGGCAGTGCCAATAGCAGCATTGCCCAACTATTTTGTGATGTTTTCTTTCATTTTGGATTTCTCTAGAGAGATACTAAGAAAGGCAGAGAAAGGTGAGCAGAGACAACCTAGGATGGAGTTCCTTTAAAAGTTGTGCAGTATAGAAGAAGAGGACAAGTTATACCCGCAAAAAATATTTTTCCGTATAAAACTACTAAAACTAAAGAAGGCTTGACTTCCTTTGCATTTAGTTCACCTCAAGTAAAAACAGTCTCATTGCCTGGAGGGAAGGATACAAGAGGCATGTATGTTAAGAGAAGTTATCGTTGTTACATTGCATCTGTATTTTGCCTTTGAAGTAGGTACCACTTAATGGTAGTTTGGGAGGTAGAGGAAGACGGATGAAGAGTAAACTGTAGGTTCTGGAAGCTGTCATATATAGTTGTAGTTCAATTCCACTGCTGTCATAAAGTTTGTCTGCTGCTGCTGCTGCTGCTTCCTTCAAAGGAAGGTAATTCAAAGTGCTTGAGCATTATGCAGGCACATGGACAGGAATATAGTCTATTCCTTTACAAAAAGATTTCCAGACCTTTAATTATTCTGAAAGAAATACAACAGTCTGTGATGGGATCAAATGGCTGTCTTTTTCATGATTTGGTATAAACACAATTATATTTTCGAAGGGTTGCCATTCATAGCCCAAAATGTCCCTCACCATTTCAGCTTCTGCTTAGATGATCCCTGATGGTTTTGTACAAAGCAACACTTGCTTCTGTGACTCTTCTTTATCATGCATCACAGATAACAGCCTGGATCTTTCATCCTGTTTGTCTTCTCTTATTGAAAGAGTGCCAAGCTTTACCACAGCCCTTGGCCTGGCTTTCCTGTGCAATTAATATTAATAAGTTAAACAGATGGTTGGTAGTAAATATAGTCAATGTTTGCAAGACATCCCTGCTGATCTTATGGCCACTTCCTTCCCTTTAAAAAAAGTAAGAGCAATTCTTAGCAAGACTGTGATGGAAGAAACAGATCAGACACAGAAGATGCAATATGGATGATTTACACTGGGATAAGCTATCTTACTGTCCAAAAACCAAGGCAGAAAATAATTATTTCAGCTGAGCATTTTTCATAATGAAGATGAAGAACAAGTTGAGTGTACAGGTTGATGAGTTAAAGAGATTTTTGTATTGGATAGTCAGATTCCTTTGCTATATTTTGCTCTAAACAAAGGACAAAACAGGAAAAGATTTGGAAAGGTGTAAGAAATTACTGCCCATAAATGGAGAAATGCCTAAGATCAGGAAACAGGACTTTTGCATTGTTGAATGAAGAAGGAAATTAGTCATCTTCCTTGATCTCAGTCAATGGAGAATCTGACTTTCTTATGGTACAATTTTATCAAATGCCCCTAGCAGATGCATGTTATGTTTATATAACTGCATTGTTTACCTGGCTTGATGGGAGAGGGGTAAGGAGAGGCAAAAAAATGGAATGAATGTATATTATATGGTAAACATATCTGTACCATTTCATGGAAGGCTGAAGAAATAAAATCTCTATAAAATAAAGAGTCAGTAAAGTACAGTGGTTCAGACTGCTGGACTGCACCTCAAGAAAGCTGGTTTCTTTGCCGTGGCCTCTGTGCATCACATATTATGGGTGCTGCTGCTGTGTGGATAAAATGAAGTGGATAAGAACCTTGGAAGCTATGGTGGATTCCTTGCAAGAGGGAAAGGGTGGGAGATGAGGAGGAGGTTGTAAAAATCTGCAAAATGGAATTGTCCATAAGAGAAGTGAAGCATTTACATCATATATTACGTACTTGCTGAAAATGCCCAATTTATCCTGGGAGTAAGTGATGCTGAACTCAGTCAGATATGGCAATCCGATAACCATTCTGAAACCCATTGGGATTAAACACTCTCTATTTGATTGTGGATTGCAGATTATCTAGGCGGTCCTCAATCGCCACAAGGAGTCACAGAAATTCACTGATATCCTTTCCAGGTTCTATGGAGTCAATATTTATTTTTCTTAAATATTTATGTGTAGATTGGTAAGACATTTCTAATGTATATAAGAGAAATTTCATTTTATTTCTTTTTTTGTAGGTGTTCATCGGGAACACTGACCCTGTTGAGGTTGTTTACCGAACTTTTCCTAAGCCAGTATTGACACGTTTTGTTCGAATCAAGCCTGTAACCTGGGAAACTGGAATATCACTAAGATTTGAAGTGTATGGCTGTAAAATTACAGGTATGGTTTTTGCTTCTTTTTCTTTTATTTTTAAAGATAATTGCCATAAAATAAGGATAATAACACTGCGGAAAAGTAGACGTGCCTAAATGGAAACAAACTCCTGTGAACACAGTGGGATTTACCTCTGTATAAACTTGCAAAAGCTTGTGCTGTAGGGAAAGAGGATACCTTTTATTAACAGTTCCATGCTCCAAATAATTCAAAATATTATACTAAAATGAGTCTAAGAGTCAGCATTTTCTCTAACGCTCATTCTAACATCCAGCAAACAGCACGTGCAACTCAGTTTTACCACAGTGTAATTGATCAGATGATGAAGAGTTTGAAACATGTCCAGTAACTATATATGCCCTGCCATGTAAGTTCCCCACAACAGGCTTCCAAAATGGCTATTCCCCAAGTGCATAGATCTGCTTGGGATGCAATGGATAAATGGATGCATCCTGTAGTTTAGCTACTTATGGCATCATTATACTGCATTACTCTTCCCAGAAGAATGGAGATAATGCATAATGAATCGCACAAGAGCTGATTGGTAGAGTGCGTACAATGGACACACATGGTAGCACAAATCCTGCAACATTAATACTAGGTGTATGCATCAGGCCCGGCCTGAAATATTAATCATGTCTGATCTAGTGTATCTGTAAAGTAAATTGGGCAGTGAATGATCCAGTCTCCACCCAGGCATCTGCATGTTCAGCCATCAGTGTAAGGAGAACTTCAGTGTTAGACAGATGGGGAAATCTGTATGAGTGCATACCCGTCACTTTGCCTTCTGTGAATGTTCTCCCTTGGGATGGACTGATACATGCAGCCATGTGAGTTATTGCTTCAGACAATGCAAGTTTCAGAGGCGATGCAAAGAGAAGGTCAAAACCAAATTATTAGAGATGACTGGTCCAGACCAGCAATCCTTTCAGTTTCCTCCAGTACCTCAGAATTTCTCCTATATATTTGGTGGAAAAGTACTGCACAAAATTCCTTTGCATGTAATGAGCAGTAAGATTCCATTGCATGTTCACTCCTTTGAAGTAAGTGCAGAAATGCAGCCTTTCTGTCATGCACATTACAGATTACATTCTGCAGAGGAACAATGGATGTTTAAAAGTCAGATTGTTCCTTGTACAAAGGAGGATTTTAGAAGCAGAGAACATGCAGTGTAGAATTTAAAGTCTCACTAAATAATTGAGGAAAGGTTAAGTAGGCAGCTCATTATGTCTATTTAGCTAAAATAATGCCATCTATATAATTTCTTTTTGATTAAAAATATTCATTCCATTTTCAAAACTGTTATGAGCACATTTGTCTGTATTTCTATGATTCCAAAAGAAAACACCTTTATAAGGAAGTAAAAATGGATGGGTGGGTGGATATAACTATTTGTGATCAGAGGTGACAAAAATTCATTTTTAAAATAGTAAGAATATTTTATCACTCTTGTTATAATGAGCTGCACAATCATTATAGCAAGGGTAGGATCCTGTATACACTTTCCAGGGAGTAAATCTCATGGAACTCAGTGGACATGCACAGAATTGTGCAGCAAAAGTCACTCTTAAGAATGTTTCATATGCTTCGTTGAATAAATATAAAGGTTCATAGTGGATTCTCTTACTTAAAAATTAAATCTGGTATCTCTGGAAAAGAAAAGAAAAGAAAAGAAAAGTTTCTTCCCTCATGGAAAGATTTCATTTGCTGAGTTTGCTGAGTTCTTAAAACAACAACAACAACAAGGTTGATCAGACAAAACAAAATTAGCTATTTGAAATCATAATAGAAAATCAAAATACTATCTGAGCATTTTAAAGCTGCTAGAATTTAAAAGTCTTATCAAACAGAACACCTTTAACAAAGTAAGTTGATTAATCTACCAGACCCACACAAGAATCCTCGTGTGTGTGTGTGTGTGTGTGTGTGTGTGTGTGTGTGTGTGAAATTCATGAATGGAGAGTGTTTATGGGAGCACAAGGAGCTGTCTACTTGGCTCCAGGTGTATTTAATAGTTCGACGTATGCCATGATAAAGAACATTTCCATCTTACCTTTGGAACACTGGGTTGGATCCAGATTTAGTCAGAGCAGGCTTAATCTGGATCCAATCCAATGATTTATTGTACAAGATTATTGAAAGTATTGCTGAAATATTGCATGTGAAATACTATGACCATTTGGAAGTTGATGGAGGTATTATTATTATTATTATTATTATTATTATTATTATTATTATTATTTATTTAGATTATCCTTGCTCTGGAATGCTGGGTATGGTGTCTGGTCTTATCACGGATTCTCAGATTACTGCATCAAATGAATTTGAGCGAAACTGGATCCCAGAAAATGTCCGTCTTATAACAAGCCGTGTAGGGTGGGCATTACCACCTCCCACCACTCATACATATTCAAAGGAATGGCTCCAAATAGACCTTGGTGAAGAAAAGATAGTGCGGGGCATAATTGTCCAGGGAGGCAAACACAGAGAGAACAAGGTCTTCATGAGAAAATTCAAGATTGGATACAGCTACAATGGATCAGACTGGAAATGGATTGTGGATGCCAGCAAAAAGAAGGCCAAGGTGAGAGTTGATCAAGATCTGGTGAAGAATTATGAAGCTCAGAGGTCAGGTCCATACTTGCATGCTGAAAGTCCCCAGGTTCAGTTCATCAGGGTGACAGGTGATGTGTAGGACATCTGCTAGGAGGATATTCAGACTTTGTATAAGGGCAACTTCCTGTGGGCCCAGAAAAGAGTTAGCAGTGTGTTATCCTATGCAGGAGCTAAAAAAAGGGGATAGGGTGCCATGGTAGATACATCATTTGCTATGTTCTGTGGTAGCTGGGGCAAATATGTTGTCAATGGACAGATCTGCATTTGTAGTAAAATCCACACTGTGTGCTTGAGTTGCCCAGTGGGTGTCCACTGTTGGAGGCTGATGGTACTCGTCTTCCATGCAGAATGGGAATAAAGTCTAGAGTAGCACAAGAAGTGTGCTCATGAACACCAGAGTTACATTTCTTATATCTGACCATTCTTTGCACTCCCCATCCCACAGCATAGATGTTAACTGGAGGCATACCTCTTGCAAGTGTTCCAACTGCATTTATTTATTTATTTTTCGATTTATATCCTGCCTTTTTCCTACAAAGGGCTCAAGGTAGCTTACATCATTCTCCTCCTCCATCTTATCCCCACAACAACAGCCCTGTGAGGTAGGTTGGGCTGAGAGTTTGTGACTGGCCCAAAGTCACCCAGTTGGCCCCATGGATGAGCGGGGACTCGAACCCAGATCGTCTGAGTCCCAGTCCCATGCTCTTAACCACTACACCACACTGGCTCTTGTGATTCTGTGCTTTGCAAGCTGTCCCAGTGCTATTTGTCTGGTCCAGTCACAGTGCACTGATCTGCCTTGCCCCATTCTGACATAGCCAAATGTATATTGTTCTTATCCTTGTATAAAACATATGCTGAAATCCTTCTTGCAGCACATTCTCGGTAGGGAAAGAAAGTTTCTTGTGATTTGCTGCACCACTGGCTAGCTAGAACCATAGCCAAAACTATTGGGAAAGAGCTGCAGAATCTCAGTTGCAAAAGAGCAGTTAGTACAAGATTATTCCGTTTTAATCCAGTATGATTATTGCAGATAACACTTCTGATCCTTCCCATTAAAGATCAATTATATGCAACACCCTAAGAACTTATTTGGTATTCCACTTATCTTGACCAACTTATCTTAGAGATGAAATGTTTATCTATTACATCAATCACAAACAGCTTTGTCCTCTAAAGAGGAACAGAGGTTTTCTCCTAGAGGTAGCACTGGGACTGAAGAGATTCTTGAAAAAAAGAAACTCCTTTCAATGGAGTTCCTGCACTCACAGAAGGCAAATGCTGCATCTAACCCCTCAGACCAGCACAAGGTCAGTCAACTTCAGTAAGAGGGTGTCCTAGGTCCTGCTTGCAATTTCTAACCCCTACACTGTCTTCCTTATTTCTCTGGAAATAAATGCAAAAGTGATTTTGGTTTCAGATTGCATCAATGATGCCAGTAAAGTGCTCACAACAAATTGTGAGATCTTGTTTCTGTTAAAAATATGCTTTTTTATGTGTTCTTCCAAATTGTAGCAGGAAAAATGGAGCACCATGTGCATTTGATACAGCATATTTTATGCTGCTCATTTTAATGTTATTAAACTCGAGTCAGTTGCCATCACTGTCAAAATTGGCCATCCTGGCAAAAATGAATGCTGGCAAACACATTAAATCTCAGAGTATTCATTTCTAACCAAAAACCTTCAGAGATTAGTACTTTTCTTAAAAAAATGGATATTGTATAACCTACATAATCCTACTAAAATATTCAGCTCATTTAATAATGTTTCTTGTGTGAGGGAGTTTGATCAATTCTGAGGATTTAGAAGCCTGGTACATTTTAAAACAAGACTTAGCTATTTTAAAAATGTTAATCAAGCTTGGCTCTGCACAGTGGTAACTACACTGATTAAAAGAATGAAAGAAATTCTTTTTCTTGAAATGAAATGCAGGTTAGTCGTTCTTGAAACAGAACACTGTATGACCAACACATTCTGCAGCACCAACCAGTCAGGGTGCACAATTTGTTTAATGTTTACCCCACTTTCCCTTGCAAGATATTTTAAGTGACATAACAATAATGCCATGTAAAAGGCAGGCAATGAAGTTAAACAGCATTTTATTAACATACATAAAATAAGCAACACTATTCAAATATCCACATCAGATTTCCATCTGTCTTAAAACATACAGGTCCCAAAGGCCACTGATTAAAACAAAAACAAAACAAAAAACCTTCAGCTTTCTTTAGTGGGCTTTGGATTGGAGCAATCTAATGGAAAAATTAACTTAGGGCCTAAAATAACAAAGCTACTCCCCAGGGAAAGCTGTTTGTATGTGGCCTTTTTGCTCTGTCAACCCTCCATGGACATATATAGCTCCCGAATCTTGTTTCTCTTTCTCTGCCCCTTTCTGACCCCTGCCACATATTTTTTCCTAGCTTCCCCTTCCTCCTTCCAAGACTTCATCACAATTGGTATAAATGTCTTCACTGTGCTGTTTCTGCTTATTGGAATTTGCATTATTTCTTTTGGATTCTCTGAAGAACCCACTTTTTACTGGGGAAGGTTCAACGTTCATTGGGTCCCAGGTCCCAAACTTGGCATCTCCCATTAAAGCAGGGCTCAGGGAGCTGTAAAAGACCCCTGTTCCAGAGAGAAGAAACACTGCCAGTCAGAGTTGACCACTCTAAGTTAGATAGAACAATCTTCTGACACGCTATAAGGTGGCTTCCTTTTTTACTTCTATTGTGAGTGTATTTCAGTTTCCCTGAAACTACCCCTTAAACCAGGTATCAGATGAAATAATGTCTTTCCTTCCCTCACCCCATTCTGAAATGATCGGTGCATATGAATGAAGAGTCATAATTAAATCACAGATAGGTCTAGACTACACAGCTGACACAAGACAATGATTCAGTACAATTAGGATTCAAAGGACCATTAAATGTCTATTGAATTCTGTGCCTGTGTGTCAGTACATCCTTCTCAAACCTTTTATAGAAAAGTTTCCATTATTATATATTGCTATTTAAACGATAATTAAGGCTGGGTTACAATTGCCTGTGCTTGCACTGTAAATAGCATTCCATTTTGGCTATGCAGTAGGAAGCTTTTATGATACTGGAAACAAAATTTGCCTATAAAATAGAATGTGATAATGACAGATTAGTTAAATAAAAATAGCCATGCCCTCTCAATCCTCTTTTCCAAGATGCATCTGCTGAATGTTCTTAGTATATCAGTGGATCCCATTTTCTGAGATATCTTAGAGGCTGTAATGCTAAACATGACGTAAGAAGAGCCAAGCTGCACAGACCAAAAGCTCATCTAGGCCAGCATTTTGTCCTCACTGTGGCCCACCAGCTACCCATAGAAAGTCACAAGGTGCATATGAATGTAATAGCGCCTCCCCTCATGCATTCCTGAGGCATACTGTTTCTGACACATTGGTAGCCTTCAAATATCAGCAGTGCAACCACTCGCTATTGACAGCCTTTGAACACAGTAGGACTCTGTTCTCAATAAACATGCACAAGAATGCAAATCTGAACCACTTTGCCCGTTTTGTATCTTCATAGCTTCCATTGGAGCCTCAACCATATGATCATTCCTTCAATTTTCCATGTTTTCCTTTTAAATCAGATATTTAAATTGACTTAAAGTAGATCACCAAACCTGGCAATGATCAGATTTCTTGGTATCAATCATAATTTGCATCAGTGTACTTGTAATACCAAACTATGGTTAATGCTGAGAAGGAAAGCTGCGAAATTTCAGGTGATCCCAATCTCATGTTTATGGTTCAGGAATAAACTATCTTTTCCTGTTTGATGGTATATTTTGCATTTATGGGTGGAGGATATGGAGGGTAGAATGTTATTCTCTATCATGTATTCAGGCAAAATAGTCTTCCTATTGGAGATAATTCACCTTCATTGGCCTTTATGTGTCACCAAATAATGGTTGTTCCTATTTGGAGAGTATTCTGTTTGGAAAATGTAGCATGCTAAACAGCCCTCAATGCTGCCTAGAATCTTATAGAGACCAGCTACACTGAGACTACTGTCAGGTTTATCACATTCATATGAAATTCGGAACATGAATGAGACTTATGGGTTGAAGGGTCTCCACACAATAGGACTGACCCATAGGCAAGCTTCCTATGGCTCCCTATATGTAGTGGTAGGCAGTTTATAGAGATGTAGCAGGTCTAATAGGCTAAAGGCATAAAACAGAAAGAATAGGATTGGCTTCCAAATTACAGCATTACCACCACAGACACCAAAATGGTTTATTTGGTTTACCATATTTCTGCAATGACATCACACACAGCCTCCTTCTGCAAAGTCAGATGTAAAACAGTTCCCTAATTGCACTATCCACCACCGTTTTCTGGTATGGGAGACCTCACATTGCAGCGAGGAAAGCCCATAAAGTTACATTTCTCCGTAGAAATAATTAGCACCCTATAACTTTCACTTCTGAGGCCACATCTGTTCATAGCAACAGGGAAACATTGCATCCGTTGGACCAATGATTTAACATTCCAAGGGCTGCTATCAAGTAACATTAAGAAGGATGGTGTCTGTTCAGCCCTGGTTGATAATATGTTGTGAATGCAACAGGAATAAATTATGTCCAAATAAATTTTCCCTTCAGCTGACTTGGTTCTTCATGCACCCTCAAAAATGTCCTACAATTATTTTATGGAGATCTGCCTTACAACTTCTGCTTCTAAAGTTTAATTTGCACCTTTGCAATATAAGTATAATTTATAAGCCTTTGGGCAAGAGACTCAGAGTTGAAGTTTCTCTCTTGAAGAGTTGTCTTATTATAGCTGCATGAGTGGTGACAGAATCTAGGCCAGAGGGAATCTCTCCCCTCAGTCATCCATGTAAATTCCAGGTCTGAACCTCATTTAAAGCACGTCTCATTAAAATACTTGGCTTCTCTGCTGATGGATTGATTTGTAAAAAATGAAATACACGACTTCTCAGACACATTTTAACTATCTGCTCCCTTCTCATTTTCAAAAACAGAGTTAGCCACTTAAAATGTTCAGGATCTGGGTTGCTTTTCAACCAACTCAAATGCTAGAGGCATGAAAAATCTTAGCTGGCTTAAGTTAACTTACCATTGTGGTTCTTAAACACTGTGTTTTGTGTGTTTGTGTGGTGTGTGTGCACACTATACAGGTCTTTGAAGGCAACACCAACTATGATACCCCAGAGCTCCGCACATTTCAGCCTATAACGACCAGATTTATACGTGTCTATCCTGAAAGAGCTACTCATGCTGGATTGGGGCTCAGGATGGAACTACTGGGCTGTGAAATTGAAGGTAATTGCATGGCCTAAGATTAATCTCGTACATACAGTTCTGCTTATGCTACCACTGAGTGGGAAATGTGTATTCTCCTGCTTCTCCATTAATGCCATAGTTTTGTACTTCTCAACTGTACTTTGTTATTCTACCCTCGCATCTTTTGAGCATTTGTTTGATATGATATACCAAGAGGAGATCAGGACAATATAATGGGAATGAAAGGATCTTTTTGGTTTGGATTTGGGATAGGGTACAATACATTTGGAGTTTTGACAAAATAGGGACCAATTTATTAACAAGTCATTTCAATGAGATGCTTCTCCCTCCCCTCATGACCCCACAGGCGTGGTATGTCCAAGGGATTGGATCACATGGCACAACGAGCCACCCTGGTTTCTTGCACAGGATGCTCTGGTGTGTTGTCCTCATCTTTGTTATGACATTTCATCATGGTACATTTGGTTTTTAGAAACTATAAGAAAGAACAGTCTGTTCTGTGGTTCCCATGCTTAACCATGGTTTCTCATCCAAACTCAGCATCATGGTTTTCACAGTCCTAGTTTGAAACTATCACAGAGTCCTATGAAAAGAATAGCAGCTGCTCTAGCAGCCCAACATTGGATTGAATTTCAGGCACTGTGGCTGATGGGATATGTGCCAACAGTGAGAGGACTGAGCAAGAAGGGTGGAAACCATGCTAGCCTAGAAGCCACGTGATCATCTATCAGGCACATCAAGGCCAAAAAAAAAATATGTACACCATGGAAACCATGCAGAGTTGCTTGTCATGACATGTGAACCCAGCCAATGTATGTCCGAAACTCATAAAGGGTCTCCATATCTTCCTCCATATCAGAACCTTTGGTTTTACTTGGCAACAGTATTAACAATTCTTACTATGGGTTATGAGCAATGCTCCCTGGCAACCTTCTTTGGAAACTGGAAGAAACAAAATTTGCAAAAGTAGGTTGTAATTTACCACTCAGACCTGCTCCTAAAGGGTGGGGGAGTAGACAAACAAACAAGCTGCATAAGCCTAGCCAGCTATGTCCTAACCTATGTATGTCATCAAAAGGAAGAATTTCTAGAACTGCCTAAAGCAGAGCCGACTCAGAGGCCCTCTGCGCAGACAGCTGCCAGCTGTGCACATGGAACTGCCCATCCAGCAAGGGTTTTCCCCTTCTTTTCAGTGGTAGTGCCCCTCTGCTTACACAATGGGAATGCCTGAAATGTCCTCCACTGAAGGGAATGGGAAGCGCTTGCCCACCAGAGCCCTCATGCAGATTTAGATCAAGCACGAGTTCAGATCTGATTCGGCATATTTCCTATTTCCTAACGACTGAAATCAGTTGTTTCCAGTTTTTGATCTTAAAATCATATGGTCAAATTCTTCTTACAATATTAGTTATATATATTATTATTATAAACAATATGTTACAATATAAATCACAATATATTGCTAATGTATTATGAATGTGGTGAGAATAATACATAAGCCATTAATTTTTTCTTGCATTTTTTAAGCAGTGGCCAGAGGGATGCTGAATTCTCCATTTCTTCCCCAGTACATCAGCTCAGACGCCACAGTCCATGTTAATAGGAGGGCAAAGGGCAGGAAATGGGAAGCTGATAAAAAGATGAGAAGCTTTCCTGTGTGAAAAGAAAGGTCTTGCTACTGCAACAAATGATTTTGTTCACAGAGCCATGCTAGTGGATGAAAATGCTAACAAGTCTCAGAATGTGTTTTAACGGAGCCACACTGGCATTTCTGTTTCAGTACCTACGTCAGTCCCGACCACCTCTGACAGCAACCTTGTGGATGAGTGTGACGATGACCAAGCCAACTGCCACAGCGGAACAGGTGATGACTTCCAGTTGACAGGTGCAGAAACCATCCACATTCCATTGCAACACCATTTCCATTCAAACCAATCCTCAGTCGCAATGTGTTTGACTTGCCTTTTTACTCATTGCAAGAAATATAACATCTGCATGCAGTATTTGGGGTGGAGGGTGACCATGGTCACGGGCATCAAAATGTCTGTGAAAATTAAGGTTCTTGACCCATTAAATCACTTTCAGTTGATTTGTAATTTACCTTTGAACCGATTAATCTGCCAATTAATTGGTTCAGTTTACATCTCACCATTAAATCTTTGTGTCTTTTTGAGACATGGAAAGAACTATGAAATGATTTAAAGTTTAATTTAAAAAGGCTATCAATCATTACTGAGTTGTAAGCTACCTTGAGTAGAGCAACATTAAAAGGCAGTATACAAATGCAAAATAGAGAAAAGAAAGGCCATCTTTAATTGTTTTCCCCATCCCTTTTAGAGAAATACATTGTGTCAGAATGAAAATAGCAGTCAAAAGACAGTTGGCTTTAAACGTTCCTTCCATCAATTAAAAATTCAGCTTGAAAATCTTAATGAAAATCTAGTTTGCTTTTTCTCTAAAGCACAATGTATGTATCAGCAAAATCCAGGATTTTTTCCTGCAACAATCTTTTAGCAAGGTGTAGGCTAATTACTTCGCATTTAACTCTATTTTTGTAGAGGGTTTTGGCTGATAAGCAGGTTAGTGTCAAGGGAAATCTTGACTGAGATCCAGTTTCCCTGTTCTCAGCTCTCTTCCTTGTAACCTGGGGTAGATTTCTGTCAGTTTGTGTTTAGCAATGAGTTCATTAAGACTGAGGGGAAAGCATTTCTTCCCCTATTTCATTACCATACACCATTTTGCCTAGACTGAAACTCGGTGGTCTGTCCATCCTACACAGCTGAGTCAGCATAGCACTGCTGAGCCCCGGGAAAGAAAAAATAAGCTGGAGCAAACAGACGTCTCTTGCAGGATCTCTTTTATGAAGACTAGAATGTATCTGTTTCTGTTATATACTATAACTAGGTTGGCTGATGTAGCTGCTTGGAACTCTCTTATCCCACAAGGCCATATGCCTGAACTGCTAGATAAGACAACTTCAGTTGGCTAGAACTAGATAGCTGCAAATAAGTGGCCTCATTTTATCCCTGCTACAAATCAATGCATGATTGCTCCCTTCTGAGTTGGACAACTCAACATTTATTGTTTCCTATATACCTGTGTAGTTTATATAGCTTAATTTCCAACACCACTAAAACCAGGTAATGTGTACTCAGAGGACTTAGCCAGGTAGACAAGAGTTGTTCAGGGCATTGGATTTTATTTTCCCCTTTAGCAAGCTATTAAATAGTAGGAGAGGCCCTAATGGGGGGAAAGCCTACAGAAACAAGTAACAAACTTGGTATTTAAATGTTCAACAATTGTGAACTTCCAGTTTTTCTAAAAACAAATGCTAAAAACAGGGCAATCTACCCATAGTTTTGAAAAAGTATTGCACAACTGCACTGGCACAACTGCACAACAAATTATATTTCTCAGGCTGCCCTTCGTCCTTATATAAGCAGCATATCAAAAGTAACAAAAAGTACTGTTCTGCTGCAAAAAATGGTTAGACAGCAAGCTCTCAACAAAGGAGAACCATTTTTGTTATTTTTTTAGCTAACAGAAGGCCACATTTTGTCTCAATGCCGTGAGATATAAATTGTAGCTTCTTTTTGAAACTGTTTAGTAGGAAATGCCTGTTGGAAGTTTTTAGATAAAAGGCTGAGCATATCTAGCCAGTTGGTATCATCTGCAGATTAAAAAACTGTATATCTACCTTTTCAGCCCTGATTTGCAAATGCTTTTAAGCAAAAGCCCACAAGTAAAAGGATAGTGCATCCACAAGCTGGTTTCCACACTTCCCACTGGTTTTGACTTCTTATTTCTGCTTCATTCAGCCAGTTTGGACTTGGGGGATCCAAATTCTAATCCCTACTTGGTGACTTTAGACTAGTTACTCTCAGCCTAACCAACAAATGGAAAGGAGAAGGATCATGTAACCCACCTTGAATTCCTCACAAGAGGAAAACAGGTGGGATTATATATGGGGGGGGGGTGATTTTGGGGGCAATATCCAATTGTACCCAAATGCCCATGAGCTAGCGATCCTTAAAACAACTGTAAACAAGAAGAAAAACTTGTTCTGGAATGGGACTGGTCAGTGGATCTCACAGACAGGAGCTCTGTTGAACTGCCACAGGACACACTAATCCTCCATTGTGTGGCAGTTGGTGTTCCTCACACAACAAAATAAGCAGGACCACAGCAGCCATCTTGGTTACTAACCATTCCTATTATTGCAAGTCTAACTAGAAAGACACGAGGGAAATTGCACTGTTCTTTGCATGGATATACTTATGGTATCTTTGTATAATACAAGAATGTGATGAAATACAGGCATGAGCTTTAAAATACAGCTATTGCAAGCCAATTCCGTATCACTGTATATGATAGTACCTCTGACCATGTCATTCCTTTAAGTTAGAGAATTTGGGAATTTTGCTGTTACAGTTCTATAAATTGCATGCAGCCTAGAAAGTCTAATTATACAAGTGCCTCAAAATAAACTTGCCTCACTGTATAATTGCAACTCCATTCTAACCTAATTGTTCTTTTTACCAATCCAATGAAGATTTCCTGTTAACAAAGGCAAACATTGTTAATGCATGCACGTTTTGTCTCTCATATCCACACAGACACACGCACTCACATTTTGCATGTCTCCTTCACACCTTCATCACGTTCGCTATTGCATCACTCTCTCCTAGGCTTAGAAATAAAATAGCTTCATTAAACCTCATCACAATCATACTCACTATAGCACTTCAAATGCTTCCCTGCAGGGATGGGAGGAAGGCTTGGCTGAGGCTAATCAGCAACTTACTGCTTGATACAGTCCTCGCTTTTAAAAAAAAATAGCTTTATCTATATGTTTAGAAGAATAAAATAAAATAAATGTTTGTCTTCAAAAACTACACAAAGATGGCTAAATATACGAAAATGTACTAGTGGGAAAATACCAGCAAATTATCTACATGTCCCTGAGAACTTGTCTAATTGTCCCAACACAAGCCTTTGGCTATGATTCAGAAGAATATAAGCAGACACATATTAATTGCAGGTGAAAGTCTGCCTTGTAGATCCCTCCACCAATCATGGGAGAAACCTGCACCAATCATTATTTTCTGTGCTGATCTGTGGCAAGAGAACGGGTTATATTCATTGCCCACCCAGCAACGTAGCTTCCATATCTGAACTGTGGAAGCTAAGCAGGGTTGGGCCTGGCTGAAATCTGGATGGGTGCCTTAACTGTTGTGAACCACCTGGAGAGCTTCAGGTATCGGTGGTCAGCAAATGAAATTAATAATAATGACAATGTCCCTGCACCAAAATCTCCCCCATGGAATTGTTTCTTAAATACTCAATTATTGACACTCCTTTTATACACACTTACCTAAGGCCCATGTCACACTTACACAGCCTTTCATAGTTCTGTTATTGTGAGCATTTCTTCCCATATGGCACCAAAGTTTCTGGAGAATATTGTTTCCCTGAAACACTACACTAGAATTCAGCCTCTATCCATTTTGCTATGTGACTGTGTACAATTCCGCCCCGTTACAAGTTTCGTGAAGCAGACATGGTTGAAAAGCTTTACAATTAACTTGTTAATTTGCAAACATTTTTGGAAAACAGCCCCTTCCCCTCTATTTGTGATTGGGATTGTAAATGAAGCATTTGCAAGTCTTTTGTGAACAGAGACAAAATTCACATACTTGTCTAAAGTAATATTTTAAAAAGTCAACATGAATATACCCAAGGTAAGATCTAGATTTAGTTGCATGTAACTGGGGTGATGCAAGCTGACCTCTTTGCTGCTTCACCCCATAGCATCCACTCCAGCCCCTGCAATTGATATAAGAAGGGCTGGGAGACCCTGGTAAATTCAGTGAGTTGTAAAGCTCTGAGGTGAGAGAATCGCTCCAGATTACTGATTCTAGATCCAAACTAATCTTTACTGATGTTCTTCCTCTTGGAAAAAAAAGGAAAACGGGTCTTGATTTACCATTTGAGGTGAATGGACATGTGAATGCTCACATACCTATTTGCACAGTCAAGGGGCTTTTAAATGAGTTATGAATCTATCTTTTCTACTCTATGTGAAATACCATATTCAATTCCCTTTCAGGCAGTACCACAGCCGTGATAACAGAAAAGCCAACATCATTTGACACAACAATACAGCCAGGTATTTTTTATGGTTTCTGGTTAAAATGGAGTACACTGCACATTTGTATCTTGTTCCAAAGACAAATATAATGAATTGCAGGACTTTCTGGCTTTCCTTTCCTTCAAAGTCTCTGAAGTAGAAAGTAGCATCTGGTCTCCAAGCTCTGTACAGTAAATATTTTACTCCTTCCATCCACATGTATATGCAGTACAAAACTAGCTTCCCGTCTGTATCAGTGCATGCCAAATGGTGACAATACCACCAAAAAATTCAGATGCTGATCACAAACTGTACTTTCTGAGCAGGGTGGGAAAGCAATAACAAATTGCTATTCATCTATGATATAATATGCCTTGGTAAACTGAAGAGAGATAAATCATAAATAACCACAGAGACATACCATGTAAAAAAGCAGTATTTGCCAGTGTGTGTGTGTGTGTTTCTCTTGCCACAAACTTGGCAATTTTGCAATGTTATTTTCTAGCAAGAGTTCTTGAAAAGAGGTTATGCAAACTGCTAGCATAAACTTGGTCACAGAGGAATGAAGCTGTTAGTGGCAGCTGGTTCATTTTCCTAAATCAATACAATAGCTAATAGGTTTTAGAAAAGCTCTTAATTTGCAGCTTCACAGGGTTTCATGGTATGAGTTCTAGCCATTTTTAATATCCTGTATGGTGAAAGGAAAGGAAAGGAAAGGAAAGGAAAGGAAAGGAAAGGAAAGGAAAGGAAGAAAGAAAGTTCTCTCAAAGTCCTCCAAGTATGATCAGCAGTTTTAAATGCTTTGTGTTAATAATTGAGAAGAGGGGAAAAGGTCATTGTTCAGTTCCTCCCACTTCCTTTATTAAACCGCAATGAGGCACAGCCTCCATAGTAATTTATTAACAGGGTGTGTGTGTGCACGCCAGTATTTCCGCTACAACATGACATGAGAGGCTTTGCTCCAAGCAAAAAATAATGTACTAATAATGATGATACTTCCTTGAAGACAACAGTGTTGCAGGTCTGGCTGGTCGAAAGAAAAAGTAGTGAATTCCACTGTTGTGGCTTTTAACCTCAGAGTTTCCATGTCGTGAAGGTGAACACTTTCCCTTGCCTCAAAATACTTTCTTCCTCCTAGTTTGTTCAGTCAGCATATACTATTGTAAGCAACATCCTGTCCCCTTATTTCTTGGAAGGAACCAATTTATAAATTTTTTGCTCCACCAGTGTAAAAGAGTTTGTCTATACATTATATTGCTTGTTAACTCAGCCCAGAAACTCTTATTGTTTTGTTACTTTCAGCTATGCATGACTTTATTGTATTTAAGATCATATTCAAGAAACCAGGTTCTCTTGCTTACATTTCCTAGGAAAACTGATTTTTCATTACAAATGACTCCACTATGCACCATTCATTGTCCATCAATACCAGGATGCAAGAAATAAGATGGGTTTGCACAACACAACAGACCACAGTGGTTTTTTTTACCATTGCTGGTCTATCATGTCATCCCAATCCTGTTGTGATACTTCAACATGGTACATTTATAAACCATCCATGGTTTCTTTATACTATGATGTCTTGTTGTATCATCTGAACCTGGATGGTACAAAGGGCTGAACCAGTGAGCTTCTTGCTAAGTGGCTAGCCAGAGAGCACCACTGGCAGCTGCCATTTTGTGCCACTGTCAGAGACATACCTACCTCCTGCCTAAAGAACATCTTTGGGACAGGAGGGGGTCATCACCTGTGGCACGTGCACCTGAGAGAAGCCCCTTGGGCCTACAAGTAGGAGGAGAAGGAATCAACGCAGTGGTGCTACAGAAAGGTGGGTCTTCTCTCAGGTGTGCATACAGGGAGGCAGTGGGGGAATCAGCTAAGCTGCACTGGTACCAGCTGGGCATTACTGCCAAGGTGCTTCTCCTCTCTCCCGGCACACGTGTAAGAGGCTTTTCTCAGGCACAAGGAAGAACACGATATTTGTGAGTTTAGCTGTCATATTTACTTCTAGTCACCAGATTTTATGTGTTTGATTACATATGTTATATCCCAGAATTAGGAAGTCTTATATGTCACAGTAATCACTACTAAAGGGTAAATTATTCCTTAGCAAAAGAATATGTAGATGCTAGTAAAAGGCAGGGAACTCTTTGTAGTGAAAAATCTGAAGACATGAAATAGTTCATAGATGAATGTCATTGGCAATGGGAGGGCAGGATTTTGTTCAGAATTTTAGATGAGACTGGAGCAGGATCCCTATCTTCTTTACATGCAGGAATTGTGCATTCAGTATATTTCAGGATCTTATATTTAGACTCACTTTCTTGGGAATGAGCAAAGCATCAGCTGACGAAGTGATCTGTATGACCATAAAAACCCAAAGTTTGGGAAGCTAGGGCTTGGGCCTTGTTTTTATGGAAAAGAAGTAAATTCCTCCAGGGAGCTGCATAAAACCACTGAAAAACACTCAGAAGTGCTTCTCCAACCCTCTGCCTGACAAATCCTGCTCTGACGCTTGTGATCCCAGGTCCTCTGCATGTTTCTTCAGAGGTAGGTCCTGCCGAGTTCTGCAGGCTTGCTGCCAAGTAAGTGTGCATCCAGGTACAGCTTACGCACTCTAATCTTTAAGACAGCCAGTTTATATTGCTTTACCTAGGCAACTGACACATTGCCGCAGCCCCTCACACAGATCGATCAATGATCTCCATGCTGCAGCAAACATTTATAAAGTAACCGTTCCCATGGCAAAGAGAGAATAGACCCCACAGGGAGCTGCCACGAGGAGTGATTTGCACTGGACTCCCTGTGAAGGCTATAAAGTGTGGAGCATGCCTCCGTCAAGAGTTTCCAGCCATTTTAAACCGTTATACAAATAAGACCTGCTTTGCATGTCACAAGGACCCACAGCTCATGAAACCGTGGTTTGTCATAAGCCGGAGCAAGCAAGTGTAAACACGCCAGGAATGCTCCAACCCAGTATTGTGTGTCCCAGCCTCTGAACCAGGAATCGTGGTCTGCTGGGGGAGTGACAACCCCAACTCTGAACCCAGAAACAAACCATGGGTGCTAAATCTGGATTGTCTGTCCCACAGAAAAAGCACAATTCCACATTTGGCTGTTTCACTCCTGCTTGTTTGCAGCTACCCAGGCTTATTGAAAACTCGTTTAAATTCAGAATGGGCCTCTCCTTGTAGCATTTAGACATGATTTGCCTGTCACAGCTGCCCAGGGCACCAGCATGCTCACTTGCCCCTGCCTGTTTACAACTGCACAGCAGAGCACCGTGGCAGCAGCTGTGACAGACAAACCATGTCTAAATGTTGCACAGAGATCTGGTCTGAGTTTTGTCCATTAATGGCTATCTTTGGTTCAGGCTTTAGCATCCTGATAGTGGCCTTGTCTTCCCAGAGTTTCAGAATGCACATGTAATCCTCTTTACCATGCCCCTTCTTACAGTGAAAATGTGTCAAAAGCCAGTGGACCAAGAAAGTTGAATGGTTTAGCAAGGAGTTTGCTCAACTGACCATTAACGTAGAATATTAACTGTTACGGCTGGGAGCAACATGTGGCCCAGAGATGCAGCTGCTGGCTATTCTCACAGGCCAGATTTGTTTTAATTGCACAATCCCATACACCTTTAGGCTTTAAAAAAGTCATATACAGAGATTTTGCTGCACATCACACATCGACTCTACGTAATTCCAGCAGCTTGTTAGCCAGTGCTGCTGCATTCAGTGCAGCCTTTTTTTCTAAAGTAAAATTGACTATTTTTCTGGATGAGTCAGAATCAGTACAGCACCTGAGGATATCTTGTTGCGTTGGCTTGAGGCAGCAGCTCCCAGGTCTGGTACAGAATGGCTAACCAAGAAAGAAGCTTTACCGTTTGGTATATTGCAACAGAATGATTTGGAATATTGCAACAACAAAGCAAGTTTGTACCAGCTTGAATGGCCAACAGTAGTTTATTTATTTATTTATTTATTTATTAAAACATTTTTATGCCGCCCCATTCGCCGAAGCCTCGGGGCGGCTTACAACAAAAAATTTAAAATAACATTTTAAAATATATACAATAAAATACAAATATACACTATAAAACAAGCCGCCCTGGCCAAATAAAATTCAATAATATTAACATTTAAAATACTGCTTAAATAAAAAGGTCTTCGCCTGGCGCCGAAAAACAAATAACGACGGCGCCAGGCGGACCTCTCTGGGGAGCACATTCCATAACTTAGGCGCCACCGCTGAGAAAGCCCTCCTCCGAGTAACCACCCTCCTAACTTCTTCCATGGAGGGCTCCCGGAGAAGGGCCTCTCCTGCCGATCTCAGGGGGCGGCTGGGCATATAAGGATGTAAGCGCTCCTTCAGGTAACCAGGACCCAAGCCGTTTAGGGCTTTATAGGTCATAACCAACACCTTGAATTGGGCCCGGACTTCAATGGGAAGCCAGTGAAGCTGACGGAGAACTGGAGTCATGTGAACATAACGTCCAGTCCCCGTCAGCAGCCTGGCAGCTCTATTTTGGACCAATTGAAGTATCCGGACCGTCTTCAAGGGTAGCCCCACGTAGAGCGCGTTGCAGAAGTCCAAACGGGAAGTCACCAACGCATGTGTCACTGTCGCAAGGCAGTCATTCTCCAGATAGGGGCGCAGCTGATGAATTAGCCGAAGCTGGAGGAAAGCACTCCTCGCCACTGCTGTTACCTGAGCTTCCAGTGAAAGCTCTGGGTCGAGGAGCACTCCCAAGCTGCGGACCTTGTCCCTAAGAGGGAGTGCAACCCCATTCAGGACAAGGTTCAATTCACCCTCTCCGAAGCCCGATCCACCAACCAACAGGACCTCCGTCTTGTCTGGATTGAGCTTCAGTTTATTGGCCCTCATCCAGCCCATTACCTCGGCCAGGCACCGGTTCAGCACAGCCACTGCCTCACCTGGATTGGTGGAAAACGAGAGGTAGAGCTGGGTATCATCAGCGTACTGATGGTTCCGCAGCCCACACCTCCTGATGACCTCTCCCAGCGGTTTCATGTATATGT